ACCTTATTTTCAATAAGCAATCCTGAAAAATATTTGGGGGTGCTTAACTTTTTTCCAGGTGTATATTACAAGGATGAATGCTCAGGTTTCACAGCCTCTTCTACAACCATCAGTGGTGATCTGTGTGATGTTCCTGGTTATTCTCTGTTGTTCTGCAGTGTAATTTCTATTGCAAGAGGAGTTGGTACAGTACGTTAAGGTTTCTCTTCTTGACATGCTTTCCAAAGTCTAACTGTGTGTGGAGATAAATTTCTTGGAGCCTGTTTGAGCAACCAAAAGACACATTAGTACTTACATCTTGCAGTGGAACTGGCATGTTGTCTTGGACTTTAGGCTGGATGCTTTGTCTTGAAGGAACCATGTTTTATTGGCATCCAGACTGTACAGAGAATAGTATTTCACCAAGAGATAGGCTTATTAATAACCACAACATGCTATATACCATTTCTTAAGTTTATCACCAGCAGGGGTCCTTCGTGTATTTTGGTAATTTTTATACTAAAAGGGGAGAAACATTATTGTTGAAATAAAGTTTGCAATGATAAAAATAATAACTTGGTTGGGTTTTAACTTTATGATAAGTGTATATTGAATGAGCTTTCAACTGGCCATCTTCGTACCAAGTGATACTCAATAAGAACAAAGTTTTATAAAATGCCGAATTGAACTACCAGTTTACAGAAATAATACATCATCTGCCATTACAACAGTATACAATATAGAATTACAAAGACGTAATTTCTCCACCAATACTGTATATGTAGAGAAATGTTGATTTCAAAGAGAGGAGTTTAAAGCTTGGTCAGTAATTATTGAACATAACTTTTGTAAGATTTTTTATCATTAATTTACATCTGTTAAAATTAAAACAGAAAATGTGACATGGTTTGAGAAAAATATTTCTGTTATTCGTCATAGATAAACTTTGGCTTTATTGTCAGCTTTAGAAAAAGAAAGCACTTGTCTTCACCACTGAAAATGTGGCTCACTTGCTTATTATTGAGAACAATTTCTTGTCATTGAGTTTTGTAGACTTGTGCATAGCTTACCTGATGTATTTAGCAATCCCAGTGACAGTTACAAGTACAGAATAATCATTTTCAAAATTGAAAAACTATAATGAACTGTCCATTCAACAGGAAATAGCTAGAAAAATCAAAGAAGCAACTGATGTAGTGATGGCTTTGCTGAGTAATGGGTTGCAATAATTTTAATTCTTCTACATTTATTGTTTAAAGGGCAAAAGGATAAAAGAAACTAAATGATTGCCTGTATTTGATTGGTAGTTTGATATAGTTATTCATTCCACTTATCTTAAAATCTTAGCAATAGCCTTATAATTTGAGGCTGCAAATTAACTGTGTTGTTTCAACATACAAGATGCTACTCGTGTGTTTGGTTGTGAGAGAAGAGTTGGGGATAGAGAGACAATCCTAAAGGCAAGTCTTGCATTTCATACCCTTGATACATAACAGTGTCAACTGAATTTTAGGTAGTTTGTAAAATTTTATTTTAGTCAATATTTAAAAAAAAAAAGATAATAAAGCATGTTAAAAATCTGTTTAGTAAATTTTAGATCCTGATATTTTTGTGAAACAATATGAACTTACTATACATGAGTTTGATTTTCTTTAATGATCACTGTTAAACTAATCTGTTCATTTAAATAAATTAAATTCTATAAAAAATTTTACATTTTTATACATTTTGGTGCTTAATGGCATTCTGAAAAAAAAATTGAGGTTACTTGGAAAAAATAAAATACTGTAAAATAAGACTTCAAATAATAATAATATGGAATTACAACAAATATTATTGGGTCTGATGAAATAAAGGGTTTTTAATACAGATTTCCAAAAATCAATTTAATGTGTATAATGTTTTTTGAAATAATAAATGTGGACAACTGCCAAGCTCATTAAGAATGTTAAACTTTAATTTGATGATCAAATAATAAAAAAAATATTACATATTTCATACCTTTCTTATAGGGTAGTAAACCTCAATTAGAGCAAGTATGGGAAGAAAGAGATCATATGTCTAAAGACGAGTTTGACCCCAGAGTGTTTTTTGCTATGCATGGTAAGTTGTATATGATAAAATAAGAACCCTTGTGCTGAAAAATGAAATGTTAAGGTTAAAAGATTACAAATGAGATTTATGAAAACAAAACACTAATTGTATTAGCAAGATTAACATACCATAAACACTTATAAATATAAAGTAACAGAACCTTTAACACTAAACATGTATCAATAAAATGTGTGCGTGTGCGAACACACCTCATGTTACCGTTGTGGTAAACTGTTTCTTACATTGTGGTATTGGGATATTCATGAAAATAATTCCAAAAAATGACAACAAAGAAAAAAACAATGAAACGTGAGTGAATAAAACAGGAATCTTTATTTTTACAATAATGTAGTGTCTGTACCTACATGCCCCCCCTTCTAGTGGCTCAGTGTTTTGTTTGAAAGGTTTTAATACAGCAAAGATATAGCCCATTGTGTAGCTTTGTGCTTAACAACAAAAAGAAACTTTATTTATTGGCCAGCTTCTATCTCATCATATGACAGAAACTGGCAGCCAGGGTGAAGAGGTTTCATAAAATGTTTGCGTAGGATAGGGATCATTGCAAGAATAATGAAATTACTACACTTTCAAGTGGAACCAGGGTCTTTTTATGGTATCCCACAATCCTTAATTATTTAGGCCAACAATCATTTCAGAAACTTTTTCAAGGGAGAACAACCCAACTCATTCAGATCAGTACTACCCCTTAAAATGAGCATAGGCTTACTCCAAGGTGCTTACCCAGAAACAGGTTCAAGCAGGTATAAGCTCTGTGGAACAGGTAAATGATTAACTTAAATTTATGATCTTCTTGTACCCAATTTATGTGGTAATTACACAGACACCATCTGCAAGAAAGTTCAGAAATTTTCTGAATACATCTCAAATAAGACATATTTTATACTAGTTATGAAGGGTAAACTATAATATTAATATAATCATGGTATTACCTTGCATTCTTTCGCTTTCTAGTGATTAAAACTCCTTTTTTTTACCATTTCTAACTAGTTATGATGTGTGAGAAAGATCATTCAGAATAATCTATTTGAGTTAGCATGCCTGAAATGTGAATTCGGGGGGGGTCATGGTTTGTCACAAAAATAAGCTCCACACTTTAGGGCTGCCATGGGTGTGCTATAAGAGTGATACTCAAATCCTACTGTTCAGTCAGACAAGAGTCGACAGTGCATGCTGTTAACTAGCTGTCTCTATTCTGTCGGTTTGAAAATAGGGATGGATTTGCACAGTTAGACCTTGTGTAGCCTTAAGAAATACTTCTAAAACAAATGATTTAGAGTTACAATTAATCAAATGTATGATATAAAATACAAAATTTGTGTGATGGGAAAATATAATATTGAACGGAGGGCTGAAAATTATAATTGTGAGAATATGAGGGAAAGAACTAGATTTTATCTTTAGCACAAGAAAAATAATTGAAATTCATAAAGTGACAGAGAGTAAGAGATAATTTTTAAAATGTTTACTTAAATGTTATAATTTCTGTGATTAAAACCTTCACTCGAATCTCAGTCGTTTTGTGATATAAATCGGAGATTTATTTTATCTTTGGTACAGGTAGAATAGTATATAGTAATACACAAGTCCATGGAACTTTTAATGCAAAGTTTGATGATTATGTCATCAATATTCTTAGTATCTTAGCCAGGAAGTTAAAAATTTGAACAGCTGAATAATTACTTGCTATGTAACAAGAGAGGGTAAACGTGTAATTAGAATCTTGTTCAAACTATTGAAGATTCTTGATTGTGAATATGTTTATGAAAGTGATGTCATCATAACTTGTCAAAGTAAGAATATGTACTTATGTATATTAGAAGTTATAAGAAAACCAAATATTGTTTAAGGTTATCATTGTGGTCATTACGAGTTAGTAAACATTACTTTGAAAGGATTATTTTGAATTTAAAAATTTCTACAATACTTAAGTTTGGTACTTAATGTTCTGTTTGTTTGTTTGTTTTTAATTATGCACAAAGCTACACAAGGGCTATCTGTGCTCTGCCCACCACGGGTATCGTTGTAAGTTCGCAGACATACCGCTGTGCCACTGGGGGGGCAAATAATGTTCTGTTCATTAGTTATTTTTATTTTAATGTTATCCTGTTATAACCATTTTTTTCAACTTAATAAATCCTTGTGGTTTAACTGTTATTCTTACATTAGTACTATGTTGTTAATTTTAATCTAATTTGAACTTTCACTTATCCTAGCTCAACTTCTAGATTCTTTTATTAGCTTTGTAAATTTTGTTAAAACTTTATTTTCAGTTGAAATTTCTTTGCATTTGTAATATGGTTTGAAAATTACTTAAAATAGTATTTATTTTATTCTAAAGACATTAATGGAGATGGTTATTTGGATGAAGATGAAGTGGAAGCCATTCTGAGTTTGGAAGTATGTAATTTTTAGTATTTTTTCCAACCAAATGTACTGTTACAACTCAAAATAATTCCATTGACAGTCTTAACCTTTTTATATTTATCATGAATTTTCCATTTGAATTAAGTTCTGTATTAAGAGTTTGTAATTTATTGTTGCATCAGGGTGTTTTTTTTTCACATTAGATGCTGTTTTTACATTAGCTAAGATATTATGTTTGTAATGGTTGGTTGTTTTGTACAAAATTTTATGTGTCAAAGACTTTGATACTGAAGATTAGTTTATAACAGCACTAAAATACAGAGATAAGAACTTTAACACTGGAAATAAGTTTTTATGTCGTAAGACTGAAAAACATAAATACTTTGTGTATACAACATTGAATAGGAGCATTGTTTGACACCTTGGATCACATCATAATGGCATTGGTTAGTTATTTGTTCAAAACCAAATGGTCTAAATCTCTGCTGCTAATTTAAGAATGCTAGCCTGTGTATGTATGTATGTATGCCATTCACTTGAAAAACCTTTTCGAGAGAGAATCCACATGTATTATATTCACAGTATTATTATATAATTTTGTGTCACTATGCCTCCATATTTTTCTTACCTATGACCCTCATATTTTAACACCTCAACGTTTGTTTTCTTAAATATTTTGACATGCCATGAAGTTCTGTTAAAAGCTGGTTCAATGGCTCAAAACTGTAGACTTGCCATTATGGGAAATGATGAAAAAATTCTGGAATTTTTCTTACTTTTTCAATTAGGAGATTCCTGTGTTTTTATTTTTTCTGAAATAATACTGTAAAAGATATTTCAAATCCAATCTAATCTGCTTGAAATCATTTCACAGATAATGGTAAAATGTACTAAAGTAACTTTTGTAACAGCTATAATGGGATAGTTTATGTATCAGTAAGTCCATAATATGAACAGATTGAACCTGTAACTAAGAATATGTTCTCAATGAAATTGCTTCGTTAAGTGTATTCAGTAAATAAATGGTGATACTGAACATCATTATAGTTGAATTCCGTTGTTCATTTGGTTGAGGATGAATTTACCTATAAAATCTTGTAGTTTAATTTTTTGGAGTGGTATACTTACACAAGCATGTTAATGAAGTAAACTGTGTTTTGCCATAAATGTAGGGACGTTCTCTTACAACTGATTTTGGTGAATCAGCAAATATTATTATTCTCTTTTGAAAATAAGTTTATCCTTGCATTTTAAATCAATCAAAAAAGTATTATCATTGGGATGAATAAATATCTTCTGTTTAATTTTTGAAGGAGAATATTATAGAAAAAAAAAACTATAGCAGAATGGTAGTTACATGGCACGCAAAGCACTAGCGTATGAAGAGGCGAGTGATATGACCATAGTAAAACATTTATGTATAATTTAGGTGAAGAAGATGTATGATCCTAATAATCCAGAGGATGATCCTGTTGAAATGATGGAAGAATACAACAGAATGAGGGAACATATTTATAATGAGGTAATCCTCTATCACTCTGTATGTAATTAATATGCTCACTTAAATGTGTTTTAAATGTAGTCCTAATAAAAACACTGCATGAATTGTGTAAACTTTTAAGGATTTTCACCTTTTTGTTATGCGAATACTGTTATTTTTTATTAATTATCTTTGTGGTTTGAGTTAGAAATTAATTTGGTCAAACAGTTCTAAATTCTCACTCATATTTAAATTGTTTTTTTCTTGTATACTAAAAAACAAGTTATATATATTGCTCTGTTATGAGTCTATATAAAACAAATGACTAAACTTAGTAAGGTAATGAAAGCAAAACTATTATAGTTGTTGAATATAGATATGATATTAATTGTATTATTCTACAATAAGTTAATGTATCAAAAGGTCTGATAAAAACCTGAAAGTAGCTCAATCCTACTTGGATAGAGTGTGAACTCTTGTTATTATTTCTAAACTTGGATGTAATAATGTTTTTGCACGAACATTTAAGTCATAATGGGCATCACAGTAAAATACAGAAATTGGTTTTAGATCAATTCTATTCTATGCAAATTTTTTGTTTCCGGGTTCATGTGTATGCGTCTGTGTTTCCATTTCCACTCACTTATCTTGAACTAATACATGGATGTGCACAATATGAGAACTCATTATGGGACAGTCCGATTCCAAGTCCGGATTCTAAATCACTTTGAAGCATTTTTGTGAGTTTCAGTTAATAACTTTGTAAAGTGTGATCAGATTTGTACCAAATTTCATGGGCACATTAAGAATAAGACTCCTCATCTCACACTACAAAAAATGATCCAGGTATTGATCATTCTGGATCTGAGAAGGATTTTTTGAAGGTGAAATTTTACATTATCCAATTAAAATGCATGCAATCTCGAAATAGAGCGGTGTGTGGAAGATATGAAATCTCTCTGCTCTTGTTGTATTTAATATTTTTGTCTAATTATTTTTTAATTCAATGTAATCAGGTTATACTATGTTAATGGTTTTGCTATAAACTACAGACAAGCTCTACAAAATTTTCATTTAATAATGAGTTATCTATTCTTAAGCAAAACTACCCATGGGGAAAAGTTTAATCTATCAATTTAAATTACTTCATGGACTTTAAAAAGGTTGTGTTGCACTCTTGGTTTCATTCAGAGCCAAAGCTCTGAGCTACTTATACCGCCTACCACAAAAAGTAATTGTTATAGTCATGCTAAGAACAACTCAATAATAACATACGGTAAATCTACAATTTTATTCTTTAAGTTACGTCACATTTGGAAATGTGAATGATAGGGTGATTAATTCCTAACAATTAAATGTAGTATATACTTCTTGTGAAATAAAATTTAGCATCAACATCATTCATGCCTGTTCTCCCATCATTTCAAAAGCAAATGTTGAACTTTGCCTGCATGTGCAGCTTTTAAACGCAAGACAGACATCTCAGGATTATTTATACTAATTAGATTATCTATATACCTGCAAGTTAAGGCACAATTGTCCAGGTTTATACAATTTTCAGTAAACCTATTCTCATAAAAATATGTTTATATATGTATTGTGAACTGTAGTGTCTGTCCAAGCATTTAAATAATTTTATTAATACTATTTATCCAGTAGAATTAGAAATTGAAAGTACTTTAATTTCTAATGCAGAGGCGCATTGTTTAGACCTTGAAATTAAAGTAATTGATAATGATATCAATCTAAATGTTTTTGATAAAAGAAAATATTTTTCTTTTACAATATATATATATATATATATGGCTTACCCTTTTTTAATAGTAATATGCCATACTCTTCTGTCATAAGTATTATAACTTCGCAATTATTCAGATTTTATAAAATCTGTAATAAAGTAATATTTCGTTATTAATGTTGAAATATTAATGTAGAAATTAATATTCGATGGATTTAATGAAGAAACTCTGAATAAAATTAGTAAAATATTCTGTGATAAATATAAGAACATATTAAATAAATATATAAAAAAGTAAACATTAAGAAGATTTTGCTGATAATTTCCAATAAGTATTTTTAGTTTTAATAAGGTCATTTAAACAACTTGGCATTACTTTTATGTGAATGAACACCTTATCACATATAAAGGCTTATGTAGAGTCTGAAAATTGGTAGCTACAGTGGATTTAATGGGTAGTAGTTGGGAGTTATACTAGTTATTTTAGATAACTTGGTTGGGATTTTATACTTGTATAATTTGTTTACTGTGCTACTAATTAGTGTTTTACTACAATGGGGGCTGGAATGCCAACCTCAGGGGGTAAGATTACCTTACTTACCCCCAAGTGGTAGTACATGATTTTGTCTTTCTTTATTTGTTCATTTATTTTACTTTGGAGAGCAGTCACCTTCCCACAACTGTCTGCAGGTAGTGAAGGGTAATATAGATGTGGGATGTTGTAAGCTAGAGCACCCACATTTTGCTCTCCAAATTTCTACTTTTTGATTATTTTTTTAAATCTCTTCATGTGAAACTAGCGAATGGAGGTTAATTGATAGATGGTGTATCCCCACCACAATGTGGGTCCTACTTCTGCAGTCACCTTCAAACTTAGGACACATTTTATATCCTACATAGGTAGCCTGTGCCCTGGGTATTCTTTTGATTTGTGCAGCATCTTGATTTGACTTTTGTTTAGGCTTGTTTTTGTTCACTTTGATGTCATTTATCACAGGTTTGGAGTTGCTGTTTTTAACGCAGTCCTAGGTTAAACAACTTTATATGACTGACTATAAATTACTACTAATAAAATAATATTTGAATTTAAAACTTGTATTAGACTTCAATACAAAATCAGAAGGTAAACTTTTTTTTAGGCTGATAGGGACAAAGATAAACGTATTAGTCAAAAAGAGTTTATGGAGTTGACCAAAAAACGAGATTTTGAAGAAGATGACGGTTGGAAGGTAAATATTTTCAAAATAATATACCAAACATATTTAATTTTTAGATACATTAATATTAGTAAAATTGTAAATTAATATAGTATTAGTAATATAGCTCTTAAGACCAACCAGAAATTCTTGCCTTTCTAGAAAAACGTATTCATGAAAGATGAGCAAAACATTGCATGTCGTGAATTTTGTATAAATGAAAAATATTTTAATTATTCACTTAGTTATTTTAAACATGAATTTTGGTTTTCACATGTCAGCCAGTGATGATGCCAGTGTTGTTAAATTCTCTGAAATGTACTTAAAACAATTTTCTGGCTTCATCATTGTTAATCTTGTTATGTGATGGCTTTGATCAAGATATTTTTCCAGGTGAAAAATTTTAGCTGCATGATCATTTAATCCTTCAGTCTCTCATTGTACACTCGTTCTGAGAAAAGAAAAGTAAAAATATAAAATCCTTTATTTTTCATGAAGTTATCATTTCCCCCCTCTTAAGTCATAGTATGGTGGCCTCCATTACTGCTGACATTAACTCATTCCTTAAGCCAATCACCCTGTAAGAAAAATAATACTGATTTAAATATACCAGCAAATAATAAATATGAAATTAAAGTTTTCTTAGTTTTTATTAACATCATTTTATTTCATTAAATAATAACTAGAATCTAGCCTGTCTTTTCCCAAATCTTAAACTTTTATTCCTTTCTGGATGCAGCACAAAGAAATCAGAGGCTTTCATCGTATTGATCCATTGGATAATCTTGTAAGCTTCAATAGGATTATTTCTTAACCTTCTTTTCTCAAGTAGCATTGCCCTTCTCTGAACTCCATTTCGATAAGTCAATATTCTTTCTTAAAGAGAAACTGTACACAATACTCTAAGTGAGGCCTAACCAGTGATTTTAACATGGAGATAATTATATCTCTCGACTGGTTATCAGAATTACTATCAATATACCCTAATATTCTACTAGAAATATAGCACTGCCTCAACATCTTGAGAGAATTATCCTCCACTATTCCAAGCTGTTATTGAGTAGGTTCCTGTTTATATTAAATATTACTCAAATTATGATAACCCAGGTGTATGACCTTGCACATACTATAATTGTAAAGCTTTTTTTTATAAAATAAGAATTTTTCCCATTCAAGAAGTCTTAATTTTTGGGGCAACTCTTATTATCTTTAAAAGTAGGAGTAATAATATTAGCAACTGTTTTATACTCACATCTGCATTCTGACCTACCAATGAGAGAGAGAGGGTTATATATCTGATTCTCCCCATAGTGAGGTTATGTTTGCTTTTTTGTATCATATTTCACTAAATGTTTTTTTTCATTGAACTCTAGAATTTGTTCCACTGCAGTATTGTTTAGTTTCACCACTTGCTTTGCTTAATTCTGGTGAACAATTTAGTGAATTGGATAAAAATACACTGATTTTTCTCTAATAAAAGATAAAATTTTGGGATATTGAAAATAATTTGAAATTATATTTACTATGCTTTATTTAACTGGTTTCAAGATTAGATTACTTGCTTTCACAGTTGAGGTGAAAGTTAGGTTTTTCAGATAAGCATAGTTAAGCCTCTTTGGTGTTTAAAACTAATAGCAATTTTATGCATGAGAATACAGGGTTGAGTATGTTATATGAAAACCATTTTGAATATGCAAATCAGCATGTAGTGTTACAACCACAGTGATTATAAATTTATAGTGGAATGGTATGTACTGTTTGGCTTAACGTGGGTAGAGTGATGCCACTAAAAATTGATCAGTTTTGGGAATAGTATGTAGCAGCTCTTTCTGATGCAAAATATTCATATACAGAGATCATAAATATGTGTTAAAATTGGCGACTTAGAAATTTTAAGAGAGGGTTAACTTTTGTACTTGAGATTGAGAAAAAAGGGATTTGGATCAAATTGGGGTACCAAGTGTACTGAGTTTTTTTTTTACATGTACATAATCCTTTATAATTTTAAAAAAGTTTCCTAATAAGTGTAGAAAAGTTATACATACACTCTAGGCAACAATACAAAACATAATCGAGGAGGATCTCTGTCTGGAAACGAGGCTAACAGGGTATGGCCTCACCAAGATACGACTTCCAGTCATACCTTCTGTTCAAATATTGCATGGAGAATGAAATGGGTATTTATTTGATTCTATATGAAGACATACTGGGCAAGACTGTGCGATCAACTGTTAAAACGACCATCATTATTCTACACTATATGGCTTATGGAAAGTAATAATTGAACAGTGGGAGGCTTTGGACAAGAAAGCCCGATGATGGGGGGGGGGGGGACTTGTACAATGGAAACTATGCTTCAGGGTTCTTATCAAAATGGTGGTTCAGATAGAGCATGACCAGATATGGCAACATGAACTTTAACAAAATGGTGAGGCTTCCAAATCACTTTAATATATTGTACTCAACCCTCTATGAGTGGGAACACTGTTAAGATGCTTGTTCCAAAAATACAAGTTGTAATGCAGCTTAAGGTGTCTCCATAAATAGTTAAATATAGATATATAATTTGATCCTATTATTACATGTAATATCATAGTTTTGTAAAAGGTTTCATAGAAAAGTTAACTAAGTTCTTGTTTTTTAAGTGGAATTTAAGAACGTTACATATTCCATGAAATTGTCTCACCAGAATGTCAACTTTCTATATTATAAACATTTACCTTAAAATGTTTTGTATTTTGAGATATTTTCAAGTCCTTATTTGCATGTTTAATGACTTTCTTTTACATTTTTACATAAAATAATGCTTCACGTACTTAGAAACAAGTGTAAATTGTCTTATTTATTTGAGATGTAATATTTTATTGGAATATTAAATTTTTTAGGGTATAGATGAACAGAATATATTTACAGAAGAAGAATTCAAAGAATATGAAAGACAAAGAGCGATACAAATGCAGAAACATTTTGAGGCTCAGAGACAGGCAGCCATTGTAAGTTGATTATCTTAAATAGCTGTATTTTAATTACAATTTAATGATCTATGTAGGTTTTGTGCAGTTAGCGTATTCCAGTCATTAGTGTACTGAATATGTTGTTGGAGAAGTTGAATAAAACTTGTATTTCATCTGGATATTTTTAATAAACCTTTTAGATTAGCAAAGTTCTCTGTAAATATTGTCCCCTACTGGGAGAGTGGTAAGTCTACAGATTTACAATGCTAAAATCAGGGATTCGATTCCCCTCGGTGGACACGGCAAATATCCCAATGTGACTTCGCTATAAGAAAAAATACTGTAAATATTAGACACCCCCCCCCCCCCCCTTGCAGTGAGTGGTGAGTTTTGGGTTTATAACACTAAAAACAGGTTTTGGTACCTGTGGTGAGTAGACCACAGATAGTCCATTGTGTAGCTTTGTACTTAACAGTAAATAAAGAAATACAAGTAATGTTTACTTTTCAGTAAATATTGCAAGAGTTTCAGGCATTTACTCTAAATTTCAGCTATTTCTATTTTGTTGATCAGTGGTATGCATTTATTCTTGTTATAGCGACATCTACATCATCGTTAATTTTCTTCAGCTTGGTATTTTTATTGTCTTCTCTCAAAGCAATGCTGCTTTAAGGAGTCATACAAGGCACTATAACTTTTCAGTTGCTCAGTTTTTTGCATCATTTGGAGTGAAAACAATAGACAATAAAGTAATAATTTATTTCCACGAGTCGATTTCTTCAAACTTTGTTACGCAAATTAGCTTCTTCTGACCTACCTTCTGTCCTTGATTTGTATTTCCTCTGTAGACTTGTCATATTAGTATTTCTCTTTTCTTTATTTCAGAGGAAATAATATTTAGGCATGGCGAGGTGCTTAAACAGTGAACTTGTATATTTGGGGTAGGGATGGGACTAAGTATTGCAGAATTTGGATATATGAAAATACAATGGTAATTTATAGCCAGTGGTATTTCAGAATTATATACTGACAAGTGAAGATTCTAATTTATGTAGAGATTCATTGTTAGAGCTGTTATTTGTTGTTTATCCTGGTTTTCCATCTCTAGAATTATTATTTTTTAAATACAATGGAACATAGTCTGTGAGATTAATTTCAGCCGTTAACAGAGAAGAAAGTTTTATGGTAGACAAGTGTTTGTAATATATGAATGTAACTGAAGTGGAAGAACTTTTACTTGAATCTTGTACATTTAATCTGCAACAGAATCAGGGAAGTCCATCACAGTACATCCAGTATCCTCCTCCTCCTCAGTATGGTATACCATCCCAACATGGTGTCGCACAACAACATCGTGGTTTACCACCACAGCACTTAGAACCTCATGCAATTCCACCAAAACAATATTATGGCTATCAACTCCAAGACCAATATGGGGTAAGTTAACAAGTCTACGCTAATATTACTATGCTAATAATCTTCTTTCAAAATTATGTATTTAAGTTTAAAACTTTATTTACAAATTTTTTTGATGTTCCAGGAGAATTTTAACTTTTAAAATAATATACTGATTGACAAAAATGAAATTTCAGAATTCCTATTGTTTGTGTAGATTTTATTTTAAGAAATATATGCAATTTTTTTATCATGTCACTACATCCATTATTTTGACAGGTTTAACTTTATGAAACCTAAAACTTAGTGTGTGTATAAAAGTGAACCTCACATCAAAAGAAAGGTTAGAAATATAAGAAAAATTACAAATTTTTAACAGGTGAACTCTACCTTGAGATGGGGGATTGTTTTTATTATCATAATGAACTCTTAGTTTGAAAAGGTTTATTATTGGTGGAGAAAAATTAGCCATGTCTTTTTAAGTTTTATAAATTCTAAGTTCTCTTAAACAAATTTCTGAAAGGTAGCACAAAGGATTTTATCTAGCATTATTTAAAATATTTAGAGTAACTATATATTTTGTAAAGTCTATTAGTATGAAAAATTGATTTGTGTATGAAATTCTAAAAAATTAAATTAACTTATCCAGAACTTTGTTGGCATAATTGTTATAATAGTTTAACAGATTTGGTATATACTGTTTGTTTTTTGAATACATCATAAGTTTATGAAAAAAAAATAATGTTAATTTTAATCAATAATACTAGTTGTTGTTTTTTTTATTACCTCTTATCAAAGGTAGGCAAACAACAATTTAAAAGCATACTAAAAAGTTTTATTGATGGTGGAACATACTACATATCTTAACAGAACATGTAGTATGTTCCACCATCAATAAAACTTTTCCTTATGCTTATAAATTGTTGTTTTCCTACCTGTTATTATATTGGCATAATGCGCTTCCTTACTGAAGTACCTCTAGTCAATTATATAATATGGTAAAATGTTTTGTATGTGAACCAAATTTAATTTCTTAAACACATAATGATAAAGTCACATAAGGAAGGTAAATTTAATGAGAGAGTTGACTGAGACATTTATCTTTATGGCCATGTCAAGATGGCATCCAAGCCAAATTAAGTTTGTTTGACAGATTTGAACAATTTTGATTTAGTGTATTGTACAAGAAATAGAACATAAATATTCAATATATTTCTTTAGCAGGCTAAGCAACAGTTTCAGGGAACACCACAGTTCCAAGGAGTGCCACATTACCAACAAGGAGGACTTTCACCACAACAACAGCATTTCCAAGGAGTGCCACAGTATCAACAAGGGGCACTTTCACCACAACAACAGCAATTTCAGGGTGTGCCACAATATCAACAAGGGGCACTTTCACCACAACAACAGAATTTACATGGAGTGCCACATTACCAACAAGGAGGACTTTCACCACAACAACAGAATTTCCAAGGAGTGCCACAGTATCAACAAGGGGCACATTCACCACAACAACAGCAGTTCCAAGGAGTGCCACAGTATCAACAAGGGGCATATTCACCACAACAACAGCAGTTCCAAGGAGTGCCACAGTATCAACAAGGGGCACATTCACCACAACAAAAGCATTTCCAAGGAGTGCCACAACATCTACAAGATACACTACCACCAAAAGATCAGTTCAAAGTATTACCACAACATCAACAAGGCATACCATTACCTCAACAGCAACAGGGAGTTCCTTCACAGGATAATAGAGTACCTCAGAAAGAAATAGTTACACAACATCAGCAACAACAGGAAGTGTCACAACAGCAACAGGGAATAGCTTCACAGGAACATAAAGTACCCCCGAAAGAAACAGTTACACAACATCAACAACCACTTTCTGTAAAAAAACCTGAACAAAAGAGCCAAGATGCTTTGTCACAAGAAAAGGTATTCTTATCAAACTAAAATATTATAGTTACCTCTGTAACCATTCTAGAAGAAATGTATAAATAGATATAAATAATTAATGTGTCAAGAAATGATGATGTTTAAACTACTTTCATCACCCTTTAAAAGATTTGTTTCAGATGACTTCCACTTTTAAGGGAGAAATGTACCATTCCTTCTTGCCTCACATGCTAGAATGCTAATTAAATGTGAATAATCTGTTAAATTCTTCAATTTATTAAATTGATTGCCCTGTAATTTAAAAATAAATTTGCTCTTTATAAGTGATGGGGGGGGGGGTTAAAATTTTAGCATGGGAGTTTAGATGCATGCTGTATGTGCACATAATTAGTATTTATAAGTCAAGTTGAATATAGAAAGATAACAGCTAAGTCTCCAAAACCAAATTATGATGGTTTGAAATTCTTAATTTGATAATATATTTGTCATATTTTAATTCAAACTTACTTTAATTTAGTAAATTTTTTCTCGAATGAAATATGAGTATACCACTTACGATTTCAAGACAATAAGAAAACACTTTAGGTTTAAGACTTCATAACTTTTAACCCTTTGAGTCCACAATTAAATTTCGGGTGGGTTCTCAAAGTGTCAATTATCCACTAAAAATGAAATGTAGAATTTGTCTTTTTTTTTAAGTACATTTTAAATATCAAAATCCAGTAGTTTCACTTTTGCTTGGTGATATACGCATGCACAGTTATAAGGCAGAAAATTCAACGATGTGCGAGTATCCCGATTGTTGCACTTAGAGGAAAAGTTTTTGTGACACCTTGGGGTAAATCTCCTTGTTTCATCAAATGGCTATAAATGTCAAGTTGGGTAAATCCGATTTAGCATCCAAAGGGTTAAGGAACTTACCTACAGCCAAGGCCATCTTATGACCTTTGAGCACAGTTTAAATAAGGGACCCCTAACCAAGTTATAGGGAAAGATAAATAGTAATTGTGTTCTACCTTGGAAGTTCTGTTTGTTTTTTAGTGGAAACATGAATTTTTGAACATTTCTGCTAGAGCCCTTTTTTATTTAGGGATCTTTGGCGCATGTGCTCAGTTTGCCTTTTCCTTAAGACATAAATCCTTGGGCCTGGGACAGATCTTTTGTTTGAGCTTCCCGTCTGAGCTGTTGTATTTTATACATGTGAAGCATTGGTGTATACCAAGTAGGCTGTTGTCTGTGCTCAGGATAAGTTGTTTGGCTGTCCATCCCTGTGGGGGGTACTGCATAAAGCTGTACAAATTGTTTTATTTCTTCTAATCCACGAATATTCAAAAAACTTACAAGTAATCTCATCTTTTTTTTATTCTTTTATCCATTAATCATGTAATAAAATTTGTTGCTGTTATTGTAATCGTATTTTAGTAACAAGTTTTGTACAAGATGTGTAAATAGCCTAAACTTCTCTCATTGTTTTATTGAATTTAATTTGAAACAATTCTTTTCCACACGGGTCATGTTTATAAATTAATTGTAATTACACTTCTGTAATCATAATTCATTATGAAAATAGTAAGCGTTTAGCGATCATTCACAGAAAACTTAAACCTTAATCTAATAAACCTTTATATTACTGATTTACTTCTAGCCAGACGCCCCAGTGAATCAGGCATTACAAGAACCCCAACAACAGAAACCATAATTTGACACATCTGGAGATACGATGGTTGTGTTTATAAAACCACAAAATGCTAAGTAAATTGTTTTCATCATATTAGTTTTCAAGTCTTGTGATACTGTTTGTTTTATTGAAAGTATCTGTTTTAAAAGTGGTGTTATATTTTTGTACACCTACTTAGAAGAAAGTAGTTCTGTTTTAATCCAAATTAGTTGAATGTAAAGACTACTGGAGAAAAACTACAGAAAGAAGGTATTTTTGAAAAGTGAAGTATATGTATGCAGACTACAATTAAAACATTGGGTGATAAATAGTCAGGGAAAACTTTATATAATGGTTAATTACTAACTTTTATAGCTGTATACAATCTTAATTATTTGATTATTACTTTCATGAAAATGTTATTGTGGTTTTACTTATTTCAAAGGTTGTGAATAACGTTAGGGGGTTTAACTGCAAAATAACTTAATCTAATTGGTCCAAAGCTTACCTAAGAATAATAAATTATTTAGCAGGTCTTTATTTCTGTCACGAGTGATTTTGAATTGTTGTTAACAGATTAATATTAGTAATGAAGCTTCATCAACTGCAATCTTACAAGCTTTCAAAAGAATTGGGGACCCCCCCCCCCCCAGAAGAATTAAAAATGTCTGACTGAACTTTAAAAGTTCAACCTGATTCAACTAAATAATCTTTCATGGTGATGCCTACTTGAGCTGTAATCAGAAAATCTTGCTCGACACGTTGATTAAATGCACAAAGATAACCATTTAAAGGAAAAAGAAAATGCTATCTGTTTAGAATTTTAGTGATAGATCTTGGTTGTTTTTTTTATATCTTGAATCTTGCTCATGTGTCAAATAATTTAGAAAGGTCACACCTTTTTTTGTAAATGGTTTGATACATCCTTCTAATTCATAAAGAATGTATACAATTATTAGTTAAGGGTTACGAGATACATAACTTGAAAGAAAACAACTTGTCATATGCTCTAATACTTTTTTATGAATGACTTGTTAACATGTTGTCTCTTAACTGAAAATTAAATATTTTTGTAATATGTATTAATTATCATGACATTGACAACAACCTCTACTTTTATTGGCATTTTTCTTTGAGAAATTATTTCTCCAGTATTTAGTAATGTTTCGATGTATACAAGTTTCTGACTTCTGGTAAATGATAAAATCTGTATTTTTGTTGGTTTACAATAAAAATTTTCTTACTGTTTTGAGATCTCGCAGTGACATGTTTCTAGCACTTTAGAGCTTGCCCTACGTGGTTTCTAGAAACCTACCTTACAATGAACCCTTGTTTTTGGAATGAAAAGTGCAGTTTTACTATACATCTAGCCTCAGAGCTACTAATGATGTAAGTGATATAATACTTAATTTAAAAAAAAAAAGTTATATCCAATTGTAGGGAATATTTATAAGTGATAAATATCTATTGGTTATTGTTTCTAGTTGTGTATTAAAATGTCTGGTCAATATTAGTGTAGAATATTACTGTGGTTCCTAGAAAGAAAGTGTATGACAGAATGATTAAGATTTCAAATCTGAATGAATTGAAAAATTTGTATTGTGTAGTTTCACTCTCGTTCAGCTTCAGAAGTGGACGTGCAAGGGAAGATAAAGAATTAAGAATGTGACCCAAAAGTTAGGAGAGACTTTAAAAAAGTTTTGTTAGATTAGAGAAGCTACTAACTAATAAAGAAATAACACAATCATGGATTCTAGTATCGCCATTACTAGTGTTGAAAAAGCCGTGACTTAAGAAGCAGAATTTTGTTGAGGCCATTGGTTGAGACTACTACTGTTAGTCATTGCCTGAGTTATTAGTAGTTTTCACCACTCGCAGATTTAACCTCTGAACTGATCGTGTAGGTTACAACACGGTTTATTGATTTTATTAACTTTTAGTTCATTCCAAGTTTTGAGGCTTTAACGCACCTGAGGTTGTATCTTTGATGCTTGAGTATTAGACTATGACTTTTATAAACTCTGGAAACCAGATAAAAAGATGTCATTCTGGACAGGTAAAAGTTTGCAGTGAAGATGGTTGTGGTTACTTTAAGGGTTAGAAGCCCTGTGATAACCAATGATATCAACCTATAATGATGCTAACTGAAGTTCCAGAAGTGTTTTCACAGAACTGTAATGACTTTATCTCTTTCAGTGGACAACCATGTTGGCAGGTAATAGCTCGTTATAGTTCTGTACGTTCAGCTCCAGTAGGATTCACATAAGATGCCAAGTTATCTCTGTAATCCTGTAGGTAGCTCAACATTGAGGCATTAAAGACTTATGGTACATGGGTTGGAAGAATTATTTTGCACACAGTGTTGATGTTCTTGGTTTCTTTTCACAGTGATCAGGATTGTATGTTGTACCACACCAGGAAGATGGAATGTTGGTATGGAAACTGAGTGCTGTTTAGTGAAATATATAAAATACAAAATCACAATTATTGTTCTACTTGCTTCTTCAGTGGGAATGATGTGGTGTTGAATCGGTAAGCCATAAATGAAAGGAGTTGTATTATAAATTCATTTATCGTGTGTGGTAAGAAAGTGATTTTAGATCTGTTTCGCAGTCACTGGCGATGTGATGATAAGCTCGATCCAATTTACCAAGTATACCATTCAATTACCCCCACAAAATTACCTGTGAGAAGCTGAAGTGTGATGGTAAAGAGACAATATGATTCGAATGATGACATATCTGAATTCCACTGTGGTAATATGGTACGGTTATAAAACTGTAAAAATGGGAGGTAGATATCTTCAGAATTCAGTGGTAAGCAGGATGTACTTTTCATACTTGTAATAGCAGGCATGCTAATATAAAGATTGTATATCGTGATTGAATTTGAAAAAGGCCAGCTGGTTATTAATGGAACTGGTCAAATTGAATAATTATTTATCGCAAGAACAATCTTGAGGTATGAATCCAACACGTACCAGATGTGGATCATTATATATTGCAAATCAATTACACTGTATAATATTAATACCACTTGGAAACGTATACATTTATTTACATAATGTTTCATGCACAATGGCCTTCCTTGGGTGCATTAAGTCTCAAAAACAAGAATGAGCTAAAGGTTTGATTCTATTATATAATACAACTGTACCAAAATTGCAGTATATGTATTAATGGAAGTTATGTAAATCTAATACAGACTGTAGTAAAAAGTCCAAATAGACATCTTGGAAATATTCTGAATAGAGCCATGCTAAAAAAAAAAGTGGATAAAATTGATCATGAAACGAGCTTGTTTGTTTTGTTAAACTCAAGGGCTTTATGGGATATCTGCCTGAGCTGTTCCTTATTTAGATAGACTGGACAAAAGGCAGCTAATCAACACCACCTGTCGTCAACTCTTGGGCTACTCTTTACCAATAAATGGTAGGATTGACCACCACATTATAATGCCCCCAAGCATAAAAAAAAGTATGCATGTTCAGTGACAGGATTCAATCCCATAACCCGTTAACATCAAGAGTACATACGTAAAATTGCAACACAACAACAAAAAATCCAATTGTGCTTAATCTGAGCAAATGAAGCAACATTCCCAAAGGTACAGAAGTATTGCAAACATTTTTATTGCAACACCTACTCACTTATAGTGGAACCTCTATTGTAGGACCATAATTCACTTATTACATCAGAGGTTCATACTCGTCATTATCCAAATGTCTGTTCTATTGTATCATTTACAGGTACTGCAGTCAACTATATATATATATATATATAGTTGCACGTCAACAGAAAGGGCCTGAGAATAATAGTATTACATGTTGTTTTGGAAGCTAAATCAGTACGACAAAAAGCTAAATATGAAACTATGTATTTAACTTCCACTGTTATGAATGAAAGATTTTCATTTGCATAAGTTTAACTGACACATTTTTAACCTCACTTTCTTGATACTTTTTTAAATAATTTTTGATTGCCACCAGCATACTACTTTATACATTTCTGTATACAAGTTCAGGTTTCTAAATCTACTGCAGATTGACTTTTATCACTTTTTATTTTTTAAATCACTAAGATACTTTAAGAGTGCATTTAAAACCAGTTTATTTATTGTTATCACGGTAACTTCTACTCTTGAATTACAGTTATAACCTAATTCTATTACAGTTAAAACTTTCTATGTTAGTATTAATTTTTATTTTTCAAAAATCTAATACTTTATTTGTACTATATAATCTTGCTGTTTTATTATTATGATTACTAGCAGAAATACTGCCCATAGGGTGGTTGTTTGTACTACTAATTACTAGTTGTAGTATTCATACCTCATCAAAAAAAAAATTTAGAAAAAAGTGAACATTTTCTAAACTATTTTTTTGCTGGGTAGTATTGCAAGGAAAAAAGTGTTCGGATTTTAGACATACGCAACTCATTGCATCAAATTAATTCAATGTACAGTACTCAAAATTTTAATAAATTGTACTGACATAAACTGTAATGTTTCTATATATTAAAAATGGTAGTGTTTAATTTTTTTTAAGAACTCCAGTTTCTCAGAACTCCATTGAAAAATTACATCAATACATTACAGTCCTAGTGAAAGTCATATTCCTGTCGTGAGGAGAGTACTTTTATTTAAAATTGTGTTTTATTATAAAGAAATGGTTGTTGCACATACCACAGTTATTGTTCTAATTGTCTGAATCTTGAATATCCAAAATGTTAATTTTTTTAAGGACTTTTGTTTGTGGTGCCATTCAATAGATGGCGCAGGAGTTTTTGTTACATATATAGATACTAACGTACATGCTATGTCCATTATAGTAAGATTATTATTATTATCTCACTTGTTTGTAACTTGTCTTTCCAGTTTTTGTCCTAACCTGTATTCTAATAGCTGTGGCACTGCTGTATTATATAATGGAATCAAATTTTTAGTTCATTCTGGTTTTTGAGGCTTTAATGCTCCTGATGTTACATGTGTGATGTTACAGATAGAACTAAAAGTTTAGTGTTCTGTACGGAACAATGACATACATGGATAGGCTTGTAAGCTCAATACCATATTCAAACATTACTCCCTACTATATTATTTGCATATAAAACTAAATAAAGTAACAGCCTAATTAATACATTAACATCAAAGACACAAATAGGTACCAGACAATAATATTTAAGTTTATCACTAAAGTACAGGTACAGTACTGTAGATAATACAATACTAGCGACAATACTTGAAAAACAGTTTTAAAGTTGGATAAGTTACTTTATTTACAAAATAGTGAAATAACAGCTTCAATAAACAAACATGACAAATTAAATTCTATACAGTCTTAAGCACGAACATTCAACATAGTTTTTTTTAGTAACCATAAATGGTGTTGGATATTTGCCCAGTCAAATAATCTCAAATATTTTTATCTTAATTGCATATATTAAATGTTACTTGATGTAAATTGCATGAAAATAAAAACAATGACTGAATTGCTAAGCCTGATCATAAAATAATTGATAATGGCTACAATTTCCATAATCTATGGGAACTGAGGCAAATTTTGAGTTATTTGCAACTTACTATCCTACAATCTTGAATATAAACTTGTTTTAAAATGAATGGGAGAAAACTGTGGAGTTTTCAAAACTAGAAAATGTGACATGTTTTTGTATCTATAGTACAGTTATGTATATAAAGGCTGTTGGTTAGAAAGATCCTTAAACTACTTAAAATTACTAATTAAATTTATCTTTAAATTACAGAACCATTAAAAAAAAAAGTATCTCAATTTTAAACAAAGGAAAAACTGAGAGTTTGAAGTCTGTAATTCGATACATTTAGTTGAAACTTGCTTTCTTCCTTTCACTGCATAATTAGATTTCGGAGACATTCCCCAAAAGTTAATTCTGTATTAAAAACTAAGTCTCAATTTGACACCATTACTTTTTCAACTCAAAATGACCTTAAACTTTCCATATCTGGGATTAAAATGTCTTAAATAATATTAAATATTAGGAATTGAGATTTTCAGCAAGAAAATGTGCAAAATTTGTTGAAAGGGGTTGTGTGATATATGTACAGCAATTCAAGACCAGAGGAGACCTGTCGATTGTCACAGTAAAGGTAACAAATTTTTGGGTGTTGTGGAGAAAAGTATTTCCACACTTAACAGTAATAAAGGTTCAATCGTCTTTATTCGATTTTTGCAGTGAAATAGTTAACTTTGTTAATGAGTACATGTTTCCTTGAATGAAAGAGTGTACTAGCATTTCCCCACCTTTTTCCATCTTAAGACCAGTTAGTTTTGATTCCAAAAGTTTAGGGACCACTTCATATAATATTAATTTTTTTAAAGTTACAGTGTAAAACTACTTCAGTAGCTACATTTTAAAACATTTTCTTTTCAACGTTTGTATGGAATGGTAGTTAGGAACCACTGGTGTATACCACTTATGCTTTCAAGAAAATAAAAATACTCTCATTCAGCCCAGTTCAGAACTGGAGAGACTGATAGATTACTACCTGCAGGCATCAGCCCCTCTAACTTCGGGCAGGTCAAAGTATACAAGTCACAACTTTTTATAAAGTTATATTAAAACTGTAAACTTTATTATCATTGTTTAAGAATAAACTTGGCATAAAAACATTGTTAATAAATCAAATTTAATGTATTGTGTAAGTTTTAAGTTCTTAATTTTAAAAGAAAATACTTAAATCCTCAATATTCTCTAGTATGAGAATTGTGACATTTGTATATGTATGTTAAATATTTTTTATTTTTCATAAGAGGTAAAATTGAAAAGAGAATCTGTGATGTAGAGACCTAATGCATTATTTGATTGACCGTACCCTCTGCTGTGGACTGCAGCTTTGTCTATTCAAGGCTTATCAGCACAGTTTGGGTCAGCAAACCAAAGAAATACCACTATGCCTATTATAATGGTGAAGAGTAGATATTATCTTTTCAATTTCAACTCTGGTGGAAAAGAAAAGAAATCTGCTGTATATTATTAAATAATGAATTTGGCGAAATGTCATAACACTATTCACATATCTAAATTAATTTAGGTTACTAATATGGGGAAGTAAAACTGACTCAAAACCCCATAGAATTTACATTTGCTCTCTAGGTATCCCCTCTTCCCTAATTTATATACCACCTCTTCAAGAAATACATAATTTACAGTTCAATTAATCATTATAATGTTGTCAATTCTCAGGCAAAAAATTATTTTATAACATTTAATCTTATTTGGTTACAGAGCCATAAAATAGAAAATCAGACCCACTTGCCATACCCACCTGTCTTTCACAAAGTGCTAATAGTTTCCTAACGTTTTATACTATATTATTTATAACGAACATAAAACCAAAATTTTAACCTATGAAGTGATGTATTTATTATGTTGTTTTCTGTATAGAGAATTTGGTATTTTGCCTCCATTTTGAGACCTTTTTTTCATTGACAAACTTAGCTGAATTGTTAAAGGCTCTATGACAGTTAGGAAGCCAGGAAATTGTTTGCTTCGTGAATGCTATTATTTAGTTGAATAATAATATCATTAGTATAAAAAAGAGAATGCAGGTAAGTATTATATTTATTGTTTTTCATGTATATTCATTATTATTATAAAAGTAACTAATACGTAAGATAATGAAAAATAATTCTTAATGAAGTACTCTCACGAGTAGCTCCTGCGTTTTGTAATTCGATACAATAACATGACCTACAAGTTCACTGAGTAATCTATTTTTGATCTTAACATGAAAATCACTTTTCTCTTGCAACAGTCCACTCCCTCCTGACTCCATATATTTACAGACAAATATTTACTAAAAATAATTAAATTATCTGATTTTTTTGTGCAAGAGACCTGTAATGTTTACTGAAAGCTTGCCAAATTTTGTGAAGATACACAAAACATATTAAAAGTTCTAGTATGGAAACTGGTTAACATGGGGTCACGAGGTTAGTGCAATCTAGTCTTTACAGACGAGGGTTAAAATACAATGTGGTCCAAAAGTTAGTTATATATATTTTTTCATTTATAATCCATTTCAAGTTTATGAATGTACGTGAATAGGTACATAAATATACACACCACAAGAATCAAGTTTTTGTTGCCACAAATTGTACTATATCCACACCAGACATGTAAGTTAACTTTTGGACCATCAAGTACTGTTAATGATCTGGTGGTTAGATCTTACACACATCTACATCAGGAGTTAAATAAAACACATTAATAACCATCTGATAACTAAGTTTCTGTGCATTCACGTGTTCAATTAATTTCATATCAATATTTTGTGTAACCTATGAAATGAGGGCCGAGTGTATTTCTGACAATAAATGTGGTACAAAAGGCTAGAGTTTGTCTCTACGACTTTGTTTGTGGTTACAGAGAAGAATCAAGTTCTGAACAGCTGTAAGAGTAGACTGTTCATTTTGGCCAGTGATCAAGTGTCGGTCAACAACCACGTGGACCTCATCTGGTTCGCTTGCTACAATTGGAGGGTTTAAAGAATAAATTAAAGTGTATATATATAAAAGAATTGTAACACACTTATTTCCTCTATTTTTCATTTAAAAAAAATCAATGCTGAAGATATAAAGATTATAAAATACCCAGAATAACAATGAAAGAATTCAAACATGAGAGGTAAGGATGGAATTTTGCCAGATAAACAGTCACATGTTCAACTCCTGACCAGTTTCACTTCAGATTATGTCTGAATATACCAACTGATATATTCAGTACAGTAAGAACCATAATCTCAATAACTGTAGTTTTCTTTAAAAATGAAGTTATGGTTACATGTTTAGTTCAGATTATTTATTGGTCAAGTATGAAATCTAAAGCATACCAATTAAACTATGAACAAAATCACAATTTACTACAGAAATAAATTAATTTGCATTTGTTACTAACCTTCTAAAATATCCATAACATACACATGTACAGGGGATGAAAATAAGGAAAACTTTCTATGAAAAATTTAAAACATTTATTGTGGGATATAAAGTGTATAATATTTATGGTTACAAAATCCAAGATTATTGTACCTGATGAAACATTGTAACCATAAATAAGTTTTAAGTACAAAGCTATGGTTTTATACATTCTTAAGCTAGAGGATTAAGAAGATTAATTTTACAATGTGATTTGGGTTTCATTAGCTCTTATGCTCAGTACTGTAAACAGTTACTTCTAATCTTACTATTGTGTAAAAAAAAAAATATTTTTTCAAGAATTTCCCCATATAAATTTTTATTACATTCTCTTTTAGCAATATGAAACAGTTTGCTGCAAAAAAACTGCTAACAAAATTTTATAATATTTTTAAGCAAATCAGATGTGATACACTTACAGCTGTACAATGCTCCTCTATCTTTTAATATGTCTTCTGGGATTATGGGTAAAGTAGCAAAATCTGGATCTCTTGCTAGCTCAAACACTGACACCTGGAATTTAAGAGAACATTTCGAGTAGTAAATTAAAATAAAATCAACAGTAAAAAAATATTCATAGCCTCCGAATTAATATACCAAAATAAAATTGAAAATAATTTTTTAAATGCTAGACTGCATCATATTATGTACTTTACAAGGAAATATTGCCAGATAAGTATAGTTTAACATTAAATACTTTACTGCATTTTATTTGTACATTATAAACATACATTTTTTGATTGGTTAATTTTATAAAGCAAGTATTTGATTATGAATATTAAGGTGTTTTTGATTAGATATCATGACATTTTGTCAATACACACCAACAAAGAAAATGACACTCGATAGTAACCAACATTAGCTTTAGGAGTGCAACCCTATACTTTATAGAACAAACAAGATTCTTTAAAATAAATTATGGTAGATTTACTTATCTAAAACAGTGTTGATAACTTGTTATACTAATGCCATGGAATTTAGATTAACCAGTTACTTTTAGCGTCCAAGCTTTACACTGCTTAGAACAAAAATGAACTGTATATAACCAGTTTGAAGGAATGAAAAGTAAAACACAAAACAGCACACCATGAATACGTATTATCTCGAGCTGAATTTCACAATATGCTATCTAATTTTATATAAAAACTAGGCCATCACTTGTTACAATGACTTTTCTAAAAATTAAATTCTGAATTTTGTAGGTAGAAAAGTAAGTATTTGTAAACTTAAGCCTCATTTCCAAAAATAATTAGTTGAATTCTGCACCTTCAGTAAAATAGCTAAGATTGACCCATCTTAACTATGTTCTGAATGAGGTGGAAACAGTAAATAAAAGTTTTCTGTTCATATATATATGCTAGTGCACCCACATGTTGTTGTAGAGAGTAGAAGCAAGCTGTAAAATTATGAGCAACATGCTTAATGCCTATATGTTTAGTTTCAAGAAAACTTCCTGAAAAACTGACAGCTCGTCACCATGGATTGATTGATGGCTAGAAGATTGTATCTCAACTTTTCTGAGGTAAGACACTCGTATAGCAAGATGTTTATTAAAACTAAAGGAGACAACAATTCAAAGAATGGAGCTTTCAATGTTCTCTATGGATGTGGGAAAAATCATATAGTATAGCACAGTACATGTTCCTAAACCACATACTCATCCACAATGTGAAGATTATGGTTATAAAAGAATATGCACCAACTCGTAGCCATTGCAATGAAGCTGGACATATGTCCTCATACCATTAACAAGGATCTGACAATTAACAGACTCGCAAGCTTCTAAAAAAAAGCCACTCTCTGATCCCATTTCTTGACCCTCTTCTGTGTGTGTGGGCATCAGCTTTAAAGATCATGTCTAAATAAATCCAAGGCACCAAAGTCCGTTAGGAGATTTAGCAGGTATAGAGTCAAACAAGATTACCGTGATTCCAGCTTCTTAGGTTATCTTTCTTATTACAGAGCCATTGGCTGGTCTTCAAAGGAACTTGTCACAGTGGAAATAATTTAGTGCAAAGTAAGATACATTATTTGTTTAATCTTGTGATAGGTAACTGAATTTACTCACTCAAAATTATTAACTAGTGAAAGAAAGAGTTAACATTCTAAATAACATAATATCTTTATATCAGTAGTTATTAAGATTGATGATTTTCCTCACAAACCTCTTTATTACGTTTCCAGTAAGAAAAATATAATATTACTTCAATCACACACACACTATGTGTTGCAACCACTGCAGACAAACTGGATTTACAAATACACAAAGCCTCGGGCAAAACATTATTTATACTAGATGTACTTCTGCAAGATTTGCAAAAGTGTTCCAAGAGTAAATAAAACCAAAATTAAGAGTAACAAATACTTTTTTTTTGCTTTTGAAGTTCGTATCTCATGCTATGTTGTAGCTTACAGACTGCATAGTTCTTCTCAAGATTTGTGGCATGCACACATTTTACTGAAATCACGACATTACAAATTGCAATGTTAAGCATCCCTTATGTGACATCATTTTAGTGTCTACTGACTGACAGACAACACACTACTGTATAGTGGCGCAAATGATTAAAACAGATGATCCCCCCTTTACAAAACATCAAATCTTATGGTATACAATGCTTAAACTAGTGAGATATTACTTACTGATCAGTGGTCTGTGTGATAATGAAATGCTAATATACTCTTATACATTAAAGGACCAGTAAATAAAGATGTCATAAACATTATTAGTCTTAATGTAATTTAACATCACACAAACTACCAATCAACAAATCCTACTTCACTGTCCAAGAATAATTCATTTTAAGAATTTATGTCTCAGAAAATGCTTTTTTTTTAAGGTAACCAATAGTGACAAATGCATGACAGAGCCTACAATTAAAAACGCTTTATGTTTGTAGTTTACTAAGAAATAATAAAAGAGAGAAAAAAAGAAACATTCCACTGATATCTTTACACAGATCTATACAAAGTGAGAATTAGTTCCATAAATTACATAATAACTCACTGATGTGAGAGTAAATCTTTTAAAACTCCAAGAATCACCATCTTCTACTGCAGGGAAGAGACCAACCACACCCATTCCTACTGCACACATTGGTTCTAGGCAGAAAACAAACAATGTAGTACTATAACACCTTCAAATACAGACATCATCTCACTATATAACCCTCAAAAACAAATGCTACTATAAAACCTACAAAGAAAAAGATAGTCAATTTCATTCTTACTTCCCATATTTGTGCAAAATTGCTAATTTGTTTCCAGATAAAAGGCAGAAGTTTAATAGAAGTTGCTACATTTTTTTTCTTTTTTTTTTGAGTTTGTAAACCTACCTTGTAGTCCTTTAGGCAGCGATAAGAATTGAAACCAAAATTATGTACAAAATCCAATATTTGAATTACTGTATTGTCCCTAATTAACGTCCCCGGGGGGCATTACAAACTGTGGGGGGAGCTAATTATAATACTTGTGCAGTTCCAGATTCTATTTTTCACATGCGATTTGTTGATTTCAATGCTAATAAGTGTGTTTGTTTTTATTCTTATTTTTTCAAATCAAAAGTACGGAAATAAAAGTGAATTTATGTTGGATTATCATTGCTGGCACACAAGGTAAGCTTTATAAAAATACCAGTGGGGGTGATAATTAGAGAGAGAGGGCATTAATTAGGGGCAATACGGTATGTACATTCACTAAATCACTTGAACCAGTCAAATTAAAAATGAATGAGCTCAGACATAATAAATGTTCAAGGCTCAAATAATGACTTAACAGGCAATCAGCACTGAAGGTTATGCCAATGGCCAATCATTGAAATATTTCCTGATGACTCTTGTGAACTCTCATATTCATCGCTAATGTCTCTAAGGTGCTTTAGAAGACGTATAATAATACTGTTAATCATGTAATTGTAATATTTTCTTTTAAGCTAGGCAACATAGTACTATTAAAATGTATATAAAATGCTAAAAGATCATAAATTAAGTGAATTACAGAAAGGAAAATATATATTTATGAAAATCACACAGTGATTTCATTCAAGTACTTCAAGAATTTGATGTTTCTAATAAACATTTAGTTTAGTCCACACTGATATGAGAGAATGACAACCTTCATTTCACTTGTAAAGACAGTGTAAACTGGTATCCACTGTGGTCAAGTGAAACAGGCACCATCTGTCAGGTGTATGTGGCACGTTCTACATAGATGTGGGTATTCTGGAATAATAGACCCAAAGCTGTGCATCATTCCAAAGATGGTGTAAAGTTCATCAACCAATGGAATGTTCTCAATTGGAGAGTAGACAAACTATGCATCATTGTAAAGATGGTGTAAAGTTCATCAACCAATAGAATGTTCTCAATTGGAGAGTAGACATAAACTGTGCATCATTCTAAAGATGGTATAAAGTTCATCAACCAATGGAATGTTCTCAACTGGAGAGTAGACAAACTATGCATCATTTAAAGATGGTGTAAAGTTCATCAACCAATAAGAATGTTCTCAGTTGGAGAGTAGACAAACTATGCATCATTCTAAAGATGGTGTAAAGTTCATCAACCAATAGAATGTTCTCAATTGGAGAGTAGACAAACTGTGCATCATTCTAAAGATGGTGTAAAGTTCATCAACCAATAGAATGTTCTCAATTGGAGAGTAGACAAACTATGCATCATTCTAAAGATGGTGTAAAGTTCATCAACCAATAGAATGTTCTCAATTGGAGAGTAGACATAAACTGTGCATCATTCTAAAGATGGTGTATAGTTCATCAACCAATGGAATGTTCTCAACTGGGGAGTAGACAAACTGTGCATCATTCTAAAGATGGTGTAAAGTTCATCAACCAATAGAATGTTCTCAACTGGAGAGTAGACATAAACTGTGTATCATTCTTAAAGATGGTGTAAAGTCCATCAAATTAATGGAATGTTCTCAACTGGAGAGTAGACATAAACTGTGTATCATTCTTAAAGATGGTGTAAAGTCCATCAAATTAATGGAATGTTCTCAACTGGAGAGTA